TTTTGTGTATGTTTGCCAGGGAGAAACCGATATTAGTGATCAGTATCCGTTTATGTTTAGCCCGGGTTGTGGAAAGTTTGACGGAACTGCTCACTTGTCCTTAGATCCGTTGATACGACCGACAGCGCTACCGGCTAGGAGAGTTCCATTTGCTTTACGTGACAAGTTCTCAGCTGAATTGAGCAAATTAATGAGAGTGGGTGTGGTTGCCGAAATCGAGGAGCCAACCGACTGGGTTAGTCAGGTCACAATCATCACGAAGAAGACGGGCGGATTACGCATTTTTATTGACTCGAAACGGTTGAATAAGGCCTTGTCTTGACAGCATTATGCCCTACCTACCATAGAAGACATTTTGCCGCGTTTGGCCCAAGCTAAGTGTTTTACGTAGGTATACCTGTCTTATACATTTTGACACGTGGTTCTGGATGATGAATTCAGTTTCCTTACCACCATTGCAGCACCGTTGGGGCGTTATCGTTGGCTGCGTTTACCCTTTGGTTTGAAAGTATCGAATGAAATTTTTCAAAAGTGATTGGTACAAGCGGTAGCCGATTTAGATGGTGTAGCATGCCTGGCAGACGATGTTTTAATCTATGGCTCGACAGAAGAAGAACATGACGCTAATCTCCACCGTTTCTTGCAGCGTTATATGCAAAAGCATATCAAGCTTAAACGAAAGAAAAGTGCACTTCAGAAGGACGAGGTGCTTTTCCATGGGCATTTATTAACAACACACAGGTTCGATCCAGGAAAACGTAAGGCAATTCGAGAGATGCCGCCTCCTAATGACGTAAAGGGAATCTATCGCTTACACGCTATAGTGCATTGCTTGAGCCGTTTTATGCCAAGACTCGTTAATATCATGACACCGATCAGAAAGTTGACTCACAAAGGAGTAAAGTGGAGTTGGGGAAAAGAACAGGAAACCATATTGGAATCTACGAAGCAACTCATCAGCAACGCGCCTGTACTCGGGTATTACGACCCAGCGCATCCTTTGCAGGTGCAGTTTGACAATAACCTTTGGATTCCCACAGTCCAGCACTCACCCTGACCAAGCAGTGCTATGCGTAGAGTGAGAAGATGATTGTACTAGTCTATACCATGGATCGTTTCCACAATTATACTTTCGGAAGAAAGACAACGTTGTATACCGACCACAAATCGCTGGTGTCAATAGCCATGAAATCGCTGTACGTCGTTCCTCATCGCCTTCAGTGCATGCTAATCCGGGTTCAAAAGTACGCCGTGAATATTGTGTATACGCCTGGTGCACTGATGTTCATCGCGGATATGCTGTCAAGAGCTCATCTGCTGGTATCCGAGCATAATCCGGAAGAGGTCGCAGCAGTAAACTTAGTACAGCAACTGGCAGTGACAGATCGCCTAAAGGAAATAATGTGCCACACAGAGGAAGCTTCAAAGCTTCCAGCTTTGCGAGGCGTTATTCTAAAGAGTGGCCAGAGAGAAAGAAACAGCTACCGAATGAATTAAAACCCTGCTTCCATCTTCGGGATGAACTCTGCCTATGATGTTTTGCTGTTCAAAGGAAGCCGTATTTTGATTCCGTCATCGCCCCGAGGATAAATGAGGAAAATACGTTCATCGCACTCACCTGGGTGTCAACCATACCATTAACTGAGCAAGAGAAGTCGTCTCTTGGCCAGGAACGACGGGTCAACTAAACGACCATGCATCGGATTGTGAGGCGTGCCGTTCACACGACCTCCGGCAGACGAAGGAACTAATGATGCTGCATCATATCTTTGACCGACCGTGGCTGAAGGTGGGGGTGGATTTATTCAGAGATAACGGGAAAGATTACTTACTCACGGTAGATTACTATAGCGAATATTTGAAATCGATCTGCTGGCCACTACGACCACATAGGCAGTAATTAACAAGCACAGATGTCAGTTTTTGCAGCACGGCATACTGTTGGAGCTGGTCTCCAACCATGGGCTTCCGTTTACCAGCGTTGCTCTCTAGGACTTCCCAATCAAGTGGGAATTCGTGCACCAACAAACCAGCCCATATTGCAGTCAATCGAATGGAAAGGCGGAATCTGAAGTGAAGCAGGCCAAGCGACTGTTAATAAAAGCTAGAAAAACTGGCGAGGACCCCTACCTGATGCTACTGAAGAATCGCAACACAGCTTCAACGAATATCGGTTTGAGCCCAGTGCAGCGCCTATACAACCGAATGACTAAAACTCTGATACCAGCACCTGCCACACTTTTGCGCCCAGTTTGCCAACGGTACGAACGATTACAGAACAATCTGAGACGACGAATGACCACTCAGCAACGTTACTATGACAGCGGTGCACGGGTACTACCTCAGCTAAACTATGGATAGGTAGTGCGGGTTCAACCATTTTCCGATAGTCAAGGGCGGTGGAAGAAAGATGTGGTGACTCCGAGGGTCGGTATCAAGTCATACGAAATAAACCTGGGAGGGAAGACGTTCAGAAGAAGTCAGATGTATTTGAGGCGACACCCGATACGATAATGTGGACTGGAGTGGAGTGCCAGATGTCGTGGAGCAAGGAGACCACGGCCGCAGCTACAGCGAAGACGAGGCGGAGTGGCAAGTTTTACTGGGTACATAGCCATATGAAGGCGTAAGAACACGAAAAATTGGAGGATGTGATGGTAGTATCAGATCGGAGTGAGCAGATGGACTAACCGAGTGAGCCAGACAGCTAGTGGGGGGCGGACGTGACGGATTCGATTAGTGGACTCGGATTGGCCGATATCAGTGTGGATGCTTCCCCGTTCGTTTAACTGAAGCAAAGGAGGAACCTCATCAACTCAGAAGGGTCGTTAGTTATGGACTTGAACCTGCAATTTATCTAAGACTTTGGCTAGCTAAACATGCTGTAATTTTCGCTGAGCTGTCTCTGCCGAATAAAAGCTTATCACTGAGGGACTGGGTATTGCAACATCGGATGTGCTCACGGTGAACGCAGCCAATGAGCAACAGGCATGTTTGCATCAGGGCCCACTGCTTGGGCAGTCTCGCTGCATTCGCATGAGCAACATGCGGCGGGAACATCGTCCAGTCGTTTTAGTTCTCTGTCTTGATAACAAACTGCAATTTTAGGCCAGCAAAATTGGGCTGGTGTTGGGGAATTCAGCTTAGCCTACATTGTTCCAATATTCGAGCAGATGAATAGGTTCGCCTACAGTCACATAAGATACACGAAGGCCCATAGAGCGACAGGGGACAACTGGGTCACCGTTTCTGATCGCGACTATTGACGCCCATGAGCAAGTGAAGGGATTGCACAATCGCCCACTAGTTACGCAGTTTGGTTGCATTTGCGTAAGCGCAAGGTAGCCGGAATATCGTACAGTCCCCTTACTCCGCTGAATTGATAACAAGCAACTGCTGTAAACTAATGAAGCTAGAGTGGTTAAGGTGGATTCATAATAGCCAACAGTGTTACAGTGATTGCACTGCATAGGTTCACCCACACACCTTCAGGAAATACGCGAAAGCATATAGAGCGACACGGGACAACTAGTTCGCCGGATTTGCTCGAGGTGAACAACGCTAATGATCGAGAGGAGGGGTTGTACAATCGCCCACTGCTTGCACAGTCCCGCTGCATTTGCACGGGCACAATGTGATCTGAACATCGTCCAGTCGTTTTACTCCCCATTCTTTGCTAATGACTTGCAATAGTAGGCCAATTAAGCTACGCTTTGTGTGGTGGAGTCATAACAGCCTGCATTGAACCGATAACCGAGCAGCTGCATAGATTGGCCGACACAAAATACTTGAAGGCGCATACAGTGACAGGGGGCAACTGGATTGTAGCTTATCTTTTGCATCAATTACGGTCCTAATGATCGAATTAACCCATAGTTAATTCGGTGGGAATCGAGGTCCACATTGAGATGGCGCAATATAAAGCATTCTCAAAACAGGTGCATCACAAAAGCCCTCCAATGCTAGGTAACATTTGTTTAGCATATGATAGACCACGCGATTAGGAAGTCTGCCTTTGCGATAACATCATAGCTTCTGTAATATCGTAAGGGAACCCAGAAAAGGCGAAATGTCCAGGAGGTGAAATTTGCTGGTGCCAGGAGAACTGCTCGTATTTTTGTAACTGTGCATTAAAACGGAACATGGAGTTGTGCAGAAAGCCTTTTTTACAAGACAAAACCATGTTTTGTGTCGGAATACTTCGTGCCCCCCAGCTGGACACTGTGTTTTTCTATTATGGTACATTTGCTCCTGTAGCCTGTTCCACACAAAACCCACACCACTTATGCCCCCGGGGTCCTATTTAACTAATATGCATTCGGCAGTAACGGAATGGTTTTGTTGTGTTTCCCGCTGTTTTCGCCGTCTTTGTATCAATACACGTTGCACTGTGGCCTTCGCTTTTTGTATTCTTCAGGCGGAATTAAGCGGCTGCTCAGTCCTTCACGGTAGTTGTAACAGCTACACTAGTCCATGTGTAAAGTCAGAAGCACATAAACTACGAGAGGACAGATGAGGAGATAGGATGATACTCAGTCATCGCCTTTGTTCGAGCCCATCGATGTTCATGACCAAGAGAATTGTTTGCAGTGGCACCCGCTGGTTACACAATTCGGTTGCATTAGCATGACTACATTGTAGTCTGAACATCGTCTAGTCCACTTGTTCCTCATTTCTTGCAAGGGCATTGCTGACTGTCAGCATAAAAACTGATGTATCCAAAGTGGTTTACAAAAAGTAGATATTGTTTTGCAGAACGTCCAAAGTGGTTTGAAAATCGTCTAAAGTGGTTTACAAAATGTGCAAAGTGGTTCGCGAAATGTCCATCTTGCTTGGCAAATCGTCAAAGGTGGTTTGCAAAAGTTTCAAAGTTGTTTGCGAGATGTCCAATGTGAATTGCAAATGTCCAATATGCTTTGCAAAACATGCAATTTATAGTGAAAATGTTATATATATATATATATAAACGTTTTCTTTTTGGACACCGTTTCCTTCTGCAGGTTTATAAACGGGGAAATCATGAGGAAGTGACCGGTGTGGCAGCACATCCGCAGCTGTAAGTCAAATGTTTGTTCTCTAGCTTGCAACTGACCTTCGTTTATTGAATGCTCTTTCCGAGTAATGTTGTACTTTCTTTGTTTGTAGTATGCACGCAACTTTTCGTTGCTTGGAAAATTAGACCAATCGATAGGGAAACCAGTGTAGATGCTAAAACTAACCTTCATCTTTATTCAATTTATTGGGCGTAAATTCAAAGCTACTATACAGTGCCTACGTTGTGATGCTATCAACGGACGGAAAGTGACCATTTATTGAAAATGTGTTCACGATACTTTCTAATCCATTTGTTCCTTACCACAAAATGCACTTAGGCTAAGCGGATCACAGCAAGGTAATGTTAGATGCCACTTCTCGACGTCAACCCGGACTCTATCATGAGGTAGAGAGCGGCGCAGCGGTATGTCTTGTTAGAGCACAGGGACTATTCGGGATGCAGGTGGGTGATAAACCAAGTCAGACAACTTACTGTGGTGTATCACAGTGGTTGAGGTATATTGGAATCCCATTGGCACCACAGCGAGGATGCGACACTTCTTGACTCGTTTTGCGTGGGTTTGTGTTTTGAGATATATTGCTGTTTGTCGATGTGTCATCATTGTAGACAAAAGTGCAATAGTGACAGCTTGAGGGCTCAAAATTATGCCTGCGACCGTCCATATCGTTGTGAGTGTTCATCGTTGTTTGGTGAGGTGCTGGTAGGATAACCTAACTTGCTTTCGTCAAGGCAAACATGAGTGCTTTATCGTAGCTGTTTTATGGTGTAGGACAAGCACGTGGCAATCCGTAGTCTCAAGTAACGCCACTGCAACTGCCTTCAACCCTCCTTTTACAATTTCAGGCCACATATCGCTGTCTGCAGTCTAACTGGGCAACTCAAGATCTACGATTATGAACAAAAGTACGTCTGTGTAACTTTTAGAAAATCCCCGAATTCCAACGAACTCTATCTTATTGATGTCAAAGGATGATTCGGTTCCCCTATGTACCGTGAGCACCATCATCGCATTCCGTGTATCGAAAATGGTAAGAACTATGGCAGGTTCTGGATCGCCCCCTGAAACTTGTGACCAACGTTATCAGTTTACCTGTCGTGTAAATATGCAGCATAGCCCCTAAAGCAATGCAAAGAACAGCGTCCCACTACGAGTAGTGCTTGCCTACATTGAGTCATCCGCTAGTTTATGATATCACAAACTAGGAATGACGACCATCATTAAGGAAAGGACAAAAGGATGAGCTGCGACATGTCCTACCTAGTTACCTCGTTAGCCTCAAGCTTACCAACCGGTTGGCGAGGCGGTGTCTCATAAAGACGGAACCGTCTGTCTAATGCTATTCGTGTGAGAAGCACCCAGCTACGTGGTTTTGGACTCAGTGATTTAAGCCGGAGCTGTTTGATCCCTTGCTGCACTGTTCTATTGACTGTCTTCACTGATCCTTTGACCACATCCACGCTTATATCAACGGTCACCATTAATAACATTGTCCCTATTTGACAATAAATAGTAAGTGAACACCAACAACCCAGTTAGTGTATAAGGATGATAGATGATAATCTTCAGTTAATAGACACTGAATCGCATAGATAAATGTTGCATCATCACAATCACTTAGC